GGCCGGCTTGCCGCCGCCTCGAACGCGCCCCCCGATGCGGCTTCTCCCGCCGCCCGGCCCGAGCGCCTGTCACGCAGACGCGCCACTCCGCAGACGATCCGAGCGCCCGCAGGCCGCCATGCTCAGCGCGACCTCTGACCTATGCGCAAGCGGAAGTGAGGGACAGGGCCCGCCCCGGAAGTCTGTGCTCGTGGGCGGGGCCTCCGCGGAAAGCGGAGTCTCAGCGCGGCATCCTGGTCTACGCGGGGTGACCGCGAGCGGAAAACCTTCGGGGAGTGAGGCGGGCGGGCCCAGGAGGACCGTGGGAGGCGGGGGACTCGCGACGGGAAGGAGGAAGCCCAGCGCGTGCGCAGATGCGTGCGGGGCCGGTCTGACCGCGGGCGAGGGGATGAGCAGGTCCTCGCCGGAGCAGCACCGCGAGGTGTGGGCAGCGGGCGGGCGTGTCGGTGCGCGGGCGCGCGTGGGCAGGAGATGGTATGCGTTACCGCAGCGTGCTCACACGTGTTACATGTGTGCAGTGATACATGTGGTATGTGCGCACAGCTGCAGTCATACATATGTAGTAACGTGTAATGTGCCATGTACAGCTGCATCCTACATACGGTAATATACCTATAACATATGATATGTGTCTACAGCTAGTTCCAAACGTGTGCAGTAACATGTATAACGTGCCGTATACAGCTACATTCATACAAAGTCGGTAATATACCTATAACATGGTATGTGTGTATAGCTACGTTCATACATATGCAATAACATGTATAATGTGCAACATACAGCTACATTCATACAGACAGTACTATACCTATAACGTGGTATGCGTGTACAGCTACATCACACATATGCAGTAACATGTATAACACTCCATATGCAGCTACATTCATACAGTCAGTAATATACCATGGTATGTGTGTACAGCTACATTCATAGATATAGTAATATACATGTAACATGTATATAGTATGTTCATATATGTAGCACTATACATATATTGTAGTATATATGTACAGCTACATTCATACATATGTAACATGCATGCATATAACACAGTATGTGTACAGCTACATTCTTCCATATAGAATTATATAGCTATGCGTGTGACATGTGGTATGTATGTACACTACATCATACATATATGTGTATACTAGTATAATCATATATAGTATATATGTGTAGCCATAATTCATACATATAATAGATGCAGTAATATATTCATACCTATATATCTGTACATGTACAGAAATACAATATATTCATACATATAGTATGTGTATAGCTTTATTCATACATGTATAATATATATCGTATATGTGTAGTTACAGATGGATAGTACATATTCATAGAATATAGTATATATGTATAGATCTATTCATACATATACGTAATGTTCATACACATACAGCATATATGTGTAGCTGTATTTATGCATGTATATGTATATATAAGGTACCCGTACATACTATGCATAGCATACATGTGTAGCTGTATTCATACGTATAGTACACAGAACTCACCCAAAAAATGGATCCGCGCTTCAGGAAAGCAGGACTCTGCTTCGGCGGCAGGTGGCGCTGCCCGCCGGCTGTGGCTCCTCGGCGGACTCAGGCGGGGTGCGGTCATCCATGAGCAGCGCGGGGGTTTTAGTACGGCATTTCAAGCCGGGCGTGGTGGCGGCGCGCGCCTGTCATCCCAGCACTCGGGAGGCTGAGGCAGGAGGATCGTTGCGAGTTCGAGGCCAGCCTGGGTACAAACTGAGCTCAAGGCCAGCCTGAACTGCACAGCGAGACCCTGTCTCCAAAAGAACACGCTCCGCGAGGACAGGGCGGTCGGGCGGGTCCCCGATCGGGCGGCGGGGTGGGTCCGCGGGCGTGGCCCGGCCGCAGAGC